TTAAGTGTTAAGGGTCCAGATAATTCAGTTATAAAATTTATTTGTTTATTATTGTTATTAATTGACAGTTTATCAAGTTAAATAAATGACATTGTGTCAAGTTTGTTTTATTATGCACTACACACTCAGAAAAAAGTACAAAAGTGTTACTGGGGCATTACCTTGAAATTATATAAATATAAATACATCTGCCTCATATGTTGAATTATGTGATAATTCTAAATGAATTTTAATAGACTGATTCATGCAGTGAAAGAACGCACTATAAATGCGCACACGCACTAGTCTAACCTGATAGACTTCATCATGTCATGTATGCACGCACGCACTCTGTAGGTGTTTTGTTTGCTTTTCGTGATATACTCGATCAAATCGCACATCGTTAAAAACAACAATTACGATATTATCGCAGACCATGCATATCGCACACCCCTGTTTGATTTTTATAATGCATTGTCTTCTTATCGATCCACCAGTTCACATTTAAAGCTCTGCGTGTTTGCAAGTTAAAAACACGAGTCGAGTTTTGCATTTGTCTGAACTCTGAACAAAACAACAGTTTTATTGAAAATGCTCATCCATTCTCAGCCATGTGAGACCACTTTTTTTAATGCATGGACGCTTTTTATTTAACTTATTTTGGACTGAAGCAATGCAACACCCGCTGACTGCAATGATAGAGCTTGAAAGATCAAAGACAATTTTTAATATAACTCAGACTAGATTAGTCTGAAATAAGAAAGTCATATACACCTAGGATGCCTCGGGGGTGAGTAAAATGCAGCCTAATTTTCATTTTTGGATGAACTAACCCTTTAAGAGTGACTGAATCTGCTCGGAAGAACGTCAGAGGCGCCCCGATCACGAATCGTAAATATTCAACATGTTGAATATTTACAGTCAGAAATCCTGATGTGTGGGGGGAACCCCGAGGACAAATGTGCGTATGATCTGGAGATTATCAAGTGAAACTAAACAATTATTCCACAATTCTTAAGAAATCTCATGATATTGCACTTCTTTGTTTTCCTGCATTTGTCCGCCATGGTTTTCTCAAGTCTTGAGATTTTGCGAGATTTCCCGTGTTCAGTCGGGACTCTGGTTGAAAATCTGTTGGTGTGTGGTCATCGCAGCACACCACACACTACAGGAGCAAAACGGTTCAGTTTAGGATTTTTTTGTCCTTATGTTTGTGATCTCTCACATTTTTAAAATCTTATAAGATTTAAAAAAAATATATTTGAATGTGTACCTAGCATAAATCAGGTCTCCTTTAGGACCCCCAAGTGATCCTATTGGCTGAAAGAACTTTAATGGATTACCTTTTTTAGTGCCTGATTACAATTCTACAAAATCTAATTATGGTATATGTTTCTTGAACTATGTTATAATGACCATTGATGTGTGTTTCATTTAGCTTATGTACTAGTATAGCACACAGATACTGATTAGCTTTATAGCTTTGCTTATACTATACACATTTGGATGTGTTAAGTGTTAAGGGTCCAGATAATTCAGTTATAAAATTTATTTGTTTATTATTGTTATTAATTGACAGTTTATCAAGTTAAATAAATGACATTGTGTCAAGTTTGTTTTATTATGCACTACACACTCAGAAAAAAGTACAAAAGTGTTACTGGGGCATTACCTTTTCAAAATTATACTAATATGTACTTTTAAAGCACTAATATGTACTATTTAGGGATAAATAAGATACAAAGATGAACTTTTGTATCTTAGGGTACCACTCCAGTGATAGCTTTGTACCTTTGTGTGTACTTGGTATAACTGATAGTTGATGGAGGTAGGACCTGGTTTGTCCTGATACTGGCCCATCAGACAAAAGAATGAAAAATCACTCTGGTGTATTTTTGCCCATTGATTATTCTTGGCCTGGGACTATTGGAGCAAGTGAAGAGGCTTGAAGACACCCCACCAATTAAATATAAAACAAAATTAGAATCATTAAAGTTATTGTGAAACGTCACAACAACATTTGTTTTATTTATTTACTTTTTTAATCTGACATATTTGTGAGCAAAACAGGATATTCAAGTGGAAAATGTAGGATGGAACTTTTATCCATCAATGACTGGATTCTGAAAAGTGAGTGTTACTAGAATTGTCACTTAAAGGGTTAAAAAGTTTGAGAAATATACCTGTCTATGTAAACATAAAATCTGACTGCTGAGAAATAAAATCAAATCTGTCAAAAAAAAAAAAAATTTTTTTTGAGTGTTTGGGTTTTCAGACATACTGTATCTGTAAATGACTGAAGTTAACAAAACTGCAAACATTGCAGCACCTTCCAGTCATGCATTACAGTGAGCTGCAGTTAGGAAACATACATAATTTTTTTTCTTTGGTTTGACCCGTTTCTTCATGTGGATAAAAGTGGGCCAATAATGAATGTTGAAGGCAAAGGACGGATACTAACCACAGCAAATTAGTCAGCTTTATGACACAGGACCCATAACACTTACTGGAAACAATACAGTATGAGAAGGGAAATATTTCAATTCACCCACTATCTGCACATGAAATATGAAACTTGACTATAAAGGGCCGGAAAGTGAAAATAAGCCCTTAATGACAGTGCAGGATTAAGGTTGTGTCCGCATAGAGCTGAAATGAAAGGTTAGAGAGAAATAACTAGAGATGTTTTAGATAAAGGAAAGAAAAACATAGTAAAAGTGAGATGGTCAGCGTGAATGATCCTACAGCTCATACACTGACTCACCACTCTCATAAAAAGCAACATGATCCACTGGTGAAAAAACATTCTTGCTGACCTGAGATCAGTTGGGCCATGTTTTGAGCCGGCCATCCCCCTACAATTTACACAGACACTGCCACGTGTTAAAACTGTCCCTGCTACACAGCTGTGTCCCAATACTGGAAATAGACTCCTGCTACCAGCTCATGAGTCATAGGTGCAAAATGGAGGCAACTGTTGATGCGGAGAAATGTCCGCTGTTTCATACAGGGCAGCTGAATTATACACCCTTACCTGTTCATTTGTGGTAAAAGAACCATTTTAGGTTCTCTAAACAACCTTTATGGAACAGTTCATAAAAGAACAATTTTTTTCTTAGTGTGAAGAAATTTTAGCAGTCCGAAGAATCTTTTACTATGAAGAATCATTTTGTGCAATGGAAAGGTTCCATGGATGTTAAAGGTTCTTCATGGAACCACAGATCCGAATAAAGAACCATCATTTTTAAGTGTCTGCACTCACTATACTTCTTTAATAGTGGCATGCTTTAGTGTGATGAAAAATGAAGAAAACAAATGCAGAATGTAATTTTTATCCATTTATTGTATGATATAAAACTAGAAAAGTAAGACTGTTTCAAATTCATAGACAAATGTCCATATTTGATGTATTCTACAGTCCACACCTTGATGCAAATACAGTGATCATCAGTTGATGGGTTATTTTTCTGAAATGAATATATTTGTAATATTGCATAGAAAAAGGCACAGCTCCAAGGCCTGAAGATACAGCCTTTCTTAATGAGCAGAAAACCCTCCACCACATGTTTTCTCTCTCTTTCACATACACACACGCACACACGCACACACACACACACACGCATACATACACACACACGCATACATACACACACACACATACACACACAGCAACTGTTGATGCGGAGAAATGTCCGCTGTTTCATACAGGGCAGCTGAATTATACACCCTTACCTGTTCATTTGTGGTAAAAGAACCATTTTAGGTTCTCTAAACAACCTTTATGGAACAGTTCATAAAAGAACAATTTTTTTCTTAGTGTGAAGAAATTTTAGCAGTCCGAAGAATCTTTTACTATGAAGAATCATTTTGTGCAATGGAAAGGTTCCATGGATGTTAAAGGTTCTTCATGGAACCACAGATCCGAATAAAGAACCATAATTTTTAAGTGTCTGCACTCACTATACTTCTTTAATAGTGGCATGCTTTAGTGTGATGAAAAATGAAGAAAACAAATGCAGAATGTAATTTTTATCCATTTATTGTATGATATAAAACTAGAAAAGTAAGACTGTTTCAAATTCATAGACAAATGTCCATATTTGATGTATTCTACAGTCCACACCTTGATGCAAATACAGTGATCATCAGTTGATGGGTTATTTTTCTGAAATGAATATATTTGTAATATTGCATAGAAAAAGGCACAGCTCCAAGGCCTGAAGATACAGCCTTTCTTAATGAGCAGAAAACCCTCCACCACATGTTTTCTCTCTCTTTCACATACACACACGCACACACGCACACACACACGCACACACACACGCACACGCACACACACACACACACACACACACACACACACACACACACACACACACATATGAATAATCCCAGTGGTCACTATCCTGAAACCATTTTAACCTTCCCAGAATGTGTGGCCTGAACCACAGGACAGTGAGATACCATTAAAAAACAACAATCAATATCATCAGAAATCATGCTGCCTTTCTTTTTTTTTTTACATTTGGCATTGAGGGTTATCAAAAGGATTTTCTCAGAAATAGGCTTTGGAAGATTGAAATTCTGACATTTGTAGAGAATAAAGTATTGCTTCACAAACCTTGCCCTAGCACACATTCTGAAATATATAAAACATTAAATACTTATAATTAAATAGGGGCAGGGAGTGTTGACCTAGACGACTAACACAAACACCACCCCAAATTATAATACAAGAAACTAAACAGACCCAAAATAATGCATTATTAAACAAGACAAAAAATGGCTTGCACCCCAAATAATAAGCAGTGATACATTCCCATAAGCATAATACATTCCTATCTCATATTCTGTACAAATTACAATCTGGATGTTAGCTTAACAAAAATAAATATATTTACACAGGAAACAAAAATAAATAACTTAAAACAAAACAAGCACTCCAAATCCAAAATCCTATAAGTAATATTAATCATAGTTTTGATTCCATAGATTTGTCCGCTCGGCTCTCATTCACTCATTCACTTGTTTTCAATTCTCAGACAATATCTCTTTTGAACTCTGGGTGGTAACCAATCTAAATCGTCACCTCTATTAGGGACCGCAGAGCGTTCTTCCGGCAGCGGGACCAGCCCTTCCAGCTTTGGGCTGCAGGGCTTACTGCAGTCTTTGGAATCCAAGGCCCCTGAGTTTAAGCTGGGGGGACACAACGGCATTTGGAGGGACACTGTAAGGGACGAAGGAGAGGTAGCACCAGGCGCTGATGTAGTTGTAGGTAAGGGTGAAGGACAGAGCTCCTCAATCTCATCCAGGGCAGAAGAGAAGCTGTCTCTGGCCACAGATGAAGGGAGTCTGGGAAGAGTTGGTGGAAGAGGAGGAGCGAGTGGAGAGGGTGATGTGCAAAGCGTGACACTGTCCTCCTCTAAAAGTGAAGCTGGGGTGAGACAGGCCTCCAAAGGCGCTGGGTTTGAAAGCCCTGACGAAGGCAATGTAAGGAGCGGAGAGGAGAGTGCCGGCGACTGAGACAGCGGCGGAGCTACCATGGACAATACACTGAAAGCAGGCTGCACCTCACAGAAACCTTCATCCACGGGGTCGTCGGGTGGAGGGGAAGGGGGGAAGAAGAGCGGCCGAAGGTTGCCCTCCTGCTTCAGTTCGTCCTGGATGCGTCTCAACATGTTGTTGATGAGTACGCGCTTTTCCAAGCTGGGCTCGGTGAGGGCCCGGTGGTTGTACAGCTTCATCAGAGACATGTTGAAGATGGTCTGCCTCTGCAGGGTGTAGGAGACCTTCGAGAGCCCGTCGGCCATTGCTCCGGCTCCGGCCCCTGCCGCCAGCGCCTTGCCTTCCTCTTCATCCTCATCTAGTTTCCGCTTTGCCCCTTTACCCAACATATATCTGCTTGGGAAGTAAATAGAGACAGAGAGCGTGTTAGCCACTCAGCCACTCGTTACTAATTGCTGTTTATCTCTCTTATGACTCAACACTTGTTCCATATAAATCTCTTGATCTACAGAAAAATAACTAGTGGTAAAAATTTAAAATATACACATTTCGAGAAACTGAGATGTTAAAGGTCTAAGTTTGTAATTCTTTCTATGGTAAAATACTTCCTCCCTGGCAGCTGAACATGCAGAGACAACAAGTTAGACAATTTTAGGTTATGTGCCCTACAAGTGAAGTTCTAAATATCATAATTATGAGTTCTGAACACGATGAATGAAGTTGTATTTACAAGTGGGAAACTAGGAATTCTACACGAGTTGCTGAACTGTGACATTGGAATGGGAGTATTCATTTGAAACATGGCAGAAGCACTGATTTACAATATAGACAACAAAATACAGTAGTAAATTTATATTTTTCATAATTTCAAATTCAGATGGGTTTATTGTTCACAATATAATTATTTTGTTTTGTTTAGGCTTCTTTCATGTTATGTCTCCTACTTGAATGCAGGACATGTAACAAATGCCTGACTCTGAGGTACAAGTTTCCCAGGTGAATTTGATGAAAGCATTAAATCTGCTGGAAAGTATAAAAGCTGTGACACTATCGAAACGTTGCTCTGTTTGTTTGAGAATTCTGACCAGTCCAACATAGCAGCACTGTCTCAACCAATGAGGTGAGTCCGGGGGCGGGGCTAGTGGTTTACCTGACTAATGGCAGTTAGGGGTGTGTTTGAGGAACCTGTTTGATTATTTTTGTTATTCTGCTGGATGCCGCTAATTCACAGAAACTGCACATTAATATTGTTTTTTAGGTTTTTCCACCTTTATTTGAAATCATAGTGAAGAAGGTGACAGGAAAGTACAGAAAGTGCAAGGGGAAACAGGACCGGATCATCACTCAATCTTGGCTCTACATTTTGATGATTCACAAAAACACCAATTTTATGTTTATAAGAGATAATTTAAAAAGTCTTGTAATAGTGTTTATAAAAGGCCATTTTCATAAAAACATGTTTGAAACTATATAACCAATAGATGAATAACAAATACAAACCAAACAGGCACAACAGTTGGTATGACCCAGCTGACCAAACAGACTTGGTTAAAAAATACAAGAAATTGTTTCGATACACAGATTTGTGGCTTGAAGCTTGGTTGCTATGACATTGGCCTGCAAGCTGTTGTCATATTAGCATTCGGTGCCGCCGCTGGAGTGAGAGTCAGTACAGTCTCTGCGAATTCATCACAAAGAGACCAAAATGCCTCAGATAAGGTAACAATATGGGAACACACTCAGATGTACATACAAAGTTTAAGCAATCACAGCATCTTGAACAGGACATATAGACAACAATATCTAAGCACAAGAATTCACCCTTGAGTTACGGGGAAAGACGTGCTGCTGGAAATAACTGTACTGCATGAGCAGCTACCACAGGAGCATTTACAGGAATACAGCTCTCACTACTCCTTCCTGAGCCGTGCTGCAGCGAGGAGGAAGGCAAATGTGTGTCAGACTTTCAGTAAGTACTCATGGTAAGAAAGTGTCACATGAGTGCAAAGCCCTGATCACTCCCTGCTTAAACACATGCTGGCTGCAGCAAGACAATATCCAGCTGAGTGTTTGGTAGAAAAGGGGTACAGAGAGGAGGAGCGAGTGTGTGACCTATGCTGAGCTTTGAATGTTAGGCAGCTGTGTTCTCATCTACTGTAGCACTAGTTTCCTGCTGCGAGATTTAAAACAGATCACACGAGGAGCCACCGTAATATTACAGTACACTAATTCACCATTGCTCTGCATGGAGAGAGGAAAAAAAGGGTCTAAGGGTTTGAGTTGTGGAGACACCATTGACAGATGGTCTGAAAAACTTAAAGTTGTACACTGGAACTTTTCACTGTGCTTACAACTTAGCGTGACTCGCATGTACGTGGGAGCTATTCAAGAAAAAGATCCTTTGATGAAAGGTTTCTGTCATGTTTTGAAGTAGTCATTTAAATCTAATTTACTCATTTGGTAGCCGCTTTTATCCAAAGCAACTTTCACTGTATCCAAATTATACCGTACATTATACGGGATGCGTGATTCCTGAGAACTGAAGCCATAACCTTGAAATTTATTGCACCATACTATACCAATTGAGGTACATTATTACATTTTATTCATTCTTTGATAATCTAGTGTGTATAGAACAGTATTCGCCAACTCTTTTTAATCCTTTAATACCACTTTGCTAACGTTCAAAAGTTTGGGGTCGGTAAGATTATTTTTAATGTTTCTGAAAGAAGTCTCTTAGGCTCCTTACGATTTTGTATTTTAACAGATTTTAAAATGTAATTTATTCCTGTGATGACAAAGCTAAATTGTCACATGATCCTTCAGAATAGGATCACGTGACAAGATGATTAATAGAATTTCCTGATATGACTGAACTCTTCAACCTCCTGTGTGTAAATGACTAAAAAAAAAATTTTTTTTTTTTTTAAATCTAACTTCTTGCATATAAAACTTTTTAATGAGGAAAAAAATACAGACTGTCCCTTTAAGACAGTACAACCAGTAATTATGGTGTTTACCAGACTATGGTTCATCTGACTTGGTGATTGTCAGCGAAAAAGAAAGCTGTCTCAGAAGTTATTACATTTTCATGAAAGATTATGAAGACCAATATTTTTTCCTTTAGAAAAAAAGCGTGCCAATGAATCACTCACAAAAATACCATGAATAAGTTTTAAAGTAAAAAGAGTCGATTTTGATTTCACAATTACTTTAAGGTCAGAATGTGGCTTATTTATCAAGTAAAACATGTACGAGTCATTTAAAACAACAGATCAGTCTTCTCTCTAGCTCACAAGGAAAGCACAGAGACAGGCAGCAAGGAGTGAGTGAGTGAGAGAGAGACAGAAAGAGAAGGAAGCCCGCTCCGGAGGCCTCAGGCCTCCCCTCATTAGCATAAAGTGAAGCCTGGTAGCGGTAGGCAGGATTGCAGTGTGCTTGAACCTAATACAGGCTGACAGCCTAACGCACCCTAGCCCTGCCTGCATACACACACACACACACACTGCGCAGACGCAGATCTGTCAGGCAGCTCTTCTCACTCAGGAAGTGCTAGTGGCTGGGCCTGTTGCCTTGCTGCCTGTTACCCTGACAAACACAGTCAGCTGGGAATCCACCCAAAGAGTTGACAAAGAGAGCGAGAAAGAGAGAGGGAGTTTTGGGAGAAGAGGGGCTGAGGAAAGTTAAAGAAAGTAATGTTTCTCTTCTTTCCCTGAGCTGCTTCTGAGACGATGAATCCAAAACAATAAACGACTAGCTGGAGAGAAAAACAGGTTACGTCTGCCGGAGATGGATGTGCATTCCAAAGCATGGCATTTACATGCAGAGCACACAAATAATTCAAAATATGGGAGGGTTTATGAACAAATAAGCAAGATTTACAATCATATGCCGTCCAGTTCAGTTAATTTAGTTGGGGGGGACAGAGTGAATTATTGAGTTTAAACATGGGCAGATTACCGGTTTCAAGGTATACCACAATTTGAAAATTTCACGGTTTCAAAACCGCTAATATTTCCCATTATATCGTTCCTGCGGTATGCGCTGTTTTTCAGGAATCCCTCAGGTTGAGTGCAGTGTAGAGAGTAACAGGCCCTCCTGTTGAGCGAGTGGTCAGTCACGTGTGTGTAGGATGGCTGAACTTAAGGAGCTTCCCCTGTGCGATCGGCAACCTGACGTTTTTTGTCTTATTGCAACTCGTCTGTTTTGGAATTGCACAAACTTCGTTGCAATGCAATCGTTTTCTAAAATGTAATTTATGTGAAAATATGAAGCCTGTAAACACCCGTTAACACAGACCAGAGACGCTGAAGACGGACGCACAGAGAAAAATACTGTAGCAGGCAGATCACTCACTGTTTATGATGCACAAACTATTGGAAGAAAATCCTCAATATTGATTTGGGGGTTTATATGAATGTGTTTGTGAGGGGAACTGACTGTCTTCCGAAAAGTTTACATGGTATTTTCTTTTAATCTCATCTCTGTATAGTTCATATTAAAGCAGTGTTTCAGCGCAGTGCTGCTTTGTTTACAGTAGTAACCAAGGAACGCAGTATCTGGTGTTCCAGAAGCGCCTCCTGCTGTCTGAGAGTGAATCTGCGTCTCATCCAGAGCTTCTGCTGTTTGCTTCTTCAGGCATGTAGTATAATTTCACAAAGCTAGTCAGAACAGAACATTCTGTTTTTGCTTCAAATTGGGTTATTATTAAATCAAATTATGTATATGAAATTATATAACTAAATGATATGAAATGATATAAATGATATGTATATGAATTATATAATTAAAATTAAATTACTGTAATTACAGATTTAGGTTAAATAAAGATGTCAGTCTTTATTTTTCTTCTTTTTAGGAAACAAATCAAAGAAAAAATAAACTAATTTTACTGTTCCTAATATTCTGTATGTTGCTCAAAAACAAAATATATTGTATTCAGCGGAAAAAAAGTTAGTTTTTTTTACCCAGTCATTTAAAAATAACACATTTTAGAGCTGTAACGGCGTGATACCGTGAAACTGTTTATTTTTCTTCTTTTTAGGAAACAAATCAAAGAAAAAATAAACTAATTTTACTGTTCCTAATATTCTGTATGTTGCTCAAAAACAAAATATATTGTATTCAGCGGAAAAAAAGTTAGTTTTTTTTACCCAGTCATTTAAAAATAACACATTTTAGAGCTGTAACGGCAACACCATGAAACCGTGATATTTTTGCTTAAGGTTATCAGACAGTCAAAATCTCATACCGGCCCATGCCTAATTGAGTTAAAGAATATCTAGAGATATATTTCAAACTATAAGCCATGAGGTGATCACTAAAACAAGATTGAAATGGTAAATAACTCAATAAATAAATAAATAAAACAGTGACATAGACATGAACACAAA